AGCCTTTTATCTGTAGTATAACTTGCAGTACTTAGCATCAATCTCCTCTCCAATCTCCCCCTCCTTGCAGTTGCATACCCTCTTTCACTGCTACACTGATACGCCGAGCCTACCTCAACTGCTGTCACATCACTAGTGAATATCTGTCATCTTCAACTAACCCTACCTATTCACATAGCCCTAGCCTCGGTGGAGAGGATCCACTCTCCAAAGGGAAAGAAATACCTGCCTCAAATAGGCATGAAGATACCAGTGAGCTCTGGCACTCTGGCAAGGGTGTATCGGACCCTCAGAGTAGTCAAGACATATAACTCTCTCAAAATCCATCACTAGAATTGCTGAGTGACAAAGGGGAGCTAGATAGTAAGTAGGGGAGAATTCTAAGGGATCGTGAGGTGTCCATGCAAATAAAACCTGATATGGGTTGGCAGAGGCTTTCTGCCATCAGGTGACCCAGGCAACCAGGCTGCCTCTGATCCTTTCATTCAATAGATCTGCCCACTCAGATTACCCTACAATTTCAGGCTGGTAACGATTATTCAGAGATTTCCCAAATCAGTTCATGGAAGTTGTTCAGGCCCTCCATCAGACTCTCTGCCCTCTCTCCTTCTGGTTCCTTCTCTACCTTATGCTGTACTCTAGATCCAAACCCCTGACTGCCAGCTGCCTTGGGTTCTGTGGGCTTAGTTTAGCATGTGGTCTCTCTAATGGACTCTGAAAGTTGCTCTCCCCCTGAATCCTCCAGATGCTCCTCACAAACTGAAGGTGACTTGTCTGGAACCACTTCCTGGCACCTGGTCATTCGGGCCAAATCTTTTCCTCTCAAAGTAAAGGGAAATGTGTTATCAACATTTCAGAATTTCAAGGCATGACCAAAGGGATTCTGGTACTCAAGACATCACTGCAGAAATCTTCCTTTATAGGGGAAAGGAATTAAGTGAATTTTCTGCTCAACCAAATTAGAAAACAAGGAAACAAATTAAGATTACAGTGAGATAATATTTTTACCCCAAAGTTTAACCAAAATTTAAGATTGATAAAATAATATGCAAATAAGGGTGCAGGGTATCTACATACTTTAGTTTGTGGTAATGTGAGTCAATAGAGCATTTTTGATGAAATTTTAGCAATATTTATAAAATTTTGCAATCATCACACCTTCTCCACTTTAACCCTACTTCTGCTTCACTACGTCTTTCCTATAAGGAACCATGCATATTTACTCCAAAATTCATCTTCAAAGGTATTAATTTTGGTTCTATTCATCATAACAACAAATGGGAAGCAACTTATGTGTCTATCAGAAGGAGAATGGTTAATTGAGGCACATGTACACTTTAGAATTCTAGAAATTAGCTTACAAAGTGAGGAGGATCTATACCTGCTGTCGTAAAAAGATTCTGCATTTGGCCGGGTGTGGTGACTCATGCCTGTAATCCCAGCACTTTGGGAGGCAGAGGCGGGAGGATCACAAGGTCAGGAGTTCAAAACCAACCTGGCCAATATGGTGAAATCCCGTCTCTACTAAAAATACAAAAATTAGCCGGGCATGGTAGCGTGTGCCTGTAATCCCAGCTACCCGGGAGGCCGAGGCAGAAGAATCGCTTGAACCCGGGAGGCGGAGGTTGCAGTGAGCGGAGATTGCACCACTGCAGTCCAGCCTGGGCAACAGAGTGAGACTCCATCTCAAAAAAAAGAGATTGTGCATTCACTTCATTAAATAAAAAGAGCAAATGGCGCAACAATATATACATTGTTACCTATGTATGTTAAAAACTCAATATATTTTCATGGCATATCTATGTATTAAAAAGCTTTGAGTGGGCTTTAAAATGACACACATCAAATTATTAATTGTGGCTACTTTTGAAAAGGGGGCTGAATTTTAGAGGAAAGTTGTGAGATTGTGATTTATTGGTATTAAAATTTTTTCCAACAAGAATATGCATACTACCACTAGCTTTATGATTAAAATATTTTTAATAAGCCTGACAATAGAAATAGTAGTTGTGTATATTACTCAAATAAAGTAACTGCTATCTGATGCAACAACAACAACAACAAAAACCCTGAAATATGAATGGGTTAACACAACAAATATTTCTCTTTTTTGTGCACATAAAACCTGAAGTCGGTTGGCAGTGACCTAGAGAACCAGGTTGTTTCTATCATGTGGCTCCACACCTCAACGTGGGTTCTCCATGTTTGCTGTTGAATGGAAGAGAAAGCATGGAGGTGGCCGACTGGATCTCAGTGCCTTGACCTAGAGATGACAAACATGCTTTTACTCATATTTCAGTGGCAAGGGTTAAACACATGATCCTTTTTAACTATGAGTAGACTGGGAATGTAGTCTCTCCATGAGCCCAGGAAAGAGAGCAAGACATCATATAGATAAACACTTGCCATCTCTGCCATAAACCGGTACACAGTAGATGTTCAATGAAGAGCAACTGTTATAATTGGTTAGGACAATAACCCTCTTCATTTCTTAGAGGAGTTTGTAAGAAGGCCAAATTTGCCTTGAAATTTGCAACATTTTTCTAGTGTCTACTATGTGACAGATGTTTTCAAACACAAGGTCATGTCTAATTTTCAAAATGATCCTGGAAATTTCTACAAGGAGGATTTGTCCTTTGTCGATCAATAGCACATTTCTACACGACTCTTTATAATAACCTGCGTAATTTTAGTAGGCTGAGAATTTTCTCCTACCTTTGGTGCCTGGTCAAATCATAGCAACCCACCACCTACTTAACATTCCCAAACACCTGAACAGGTACAATGAAGCACACTGAAAAACCAGTATTTTCCTCTGGGGCAGATAAAGATAAGAGTAAACTGAAGGATAGTAAGTTATTTTCTCTTTTTATTCAAAGTTGGCATGTCTGCCAAGGAACCATTTTCCACCTCTGAGAAGGACTTGAAGAAAGATTTTTAGGGATTTAGCCACAGTAGATGTTTGCTTACACAGTGATTTCCTCTGTCTTTCCTTATCTACCACTTAAGAGGCAAGCTTTGGATGTTGACCACCTAGGTAAATTCACTCATTGGTGTATGTGTTCAGTGGCCTGTCTCAAATAAAATACTCTATTAAAATCCTACTGCAAATATCAGGGTGGTTTTAAAAAGCCTCTTTTCTAGCCTCAGGGTTATAAATCAAGAAACAGTAGATTCTGTGCTAAATCAAACTCTTCTCACTAGTAGATTTGAAAACACTTTCACAGTGTAGTGGCAGCATCCAGAGACATGAAGAGGTGTCTAGGCTTCACTATTTGAAGTGAACAATTACACGAAAGGTGCTGTTGCTGTCAAAGGGCATCTGTGGTGAGGGGTGGGACCTCCAAGCAGTTAGAACCCTCTGTGTTAGGGAAAGTGCAAGTGAGTCTGGGCTGTTCCTCTGGGAGCAGGTGCAGGCTGCAGAGAAAGACACAGTGAAGCTGACCAGCAGGTCAGTTCCAGTTTGGACAGGGGGGCACACTGAGGAAGACCCCGGGGAAGGGCACTGTAATGTGGGAAAGCACTGGACTAGACTTATGTGCTGGGCCCAGAGCAGAGTCAGCTCTAGAGGAACCTGTGGGCTAGAGGCGGGAGAACCCCAGGGCAATGAACCCCACAGTTCAAAACTCTGTTTCTCATTTTGCCTTTCCTTTCACTGAAAGGCCTGCTTTTAGTACTTTGGCCACAGGGCACTTGTTATCATTTGAGAGATATTGTGGAATGGTGAGAATTAAGAGACAGTTTGGCCTCAGATTGCGAGAAGCAGGACAGTGAGGGCTCTGGAAACATTCAGACTGGGGGTTTTGTCCCAGCCCTGTCACTTACCAGCCGTGTGAACTTGAGGATGTTGCAAGTTTTTCATCTCCTAATTTGATAAGCCCCATCTTGTAGGATTGTGGAACACATGAAATGTATGTAAGGCATCTGGCAAAGTGACTGGCAAATACTGGCTCTTTAATGAATGGCAGTTATTACTATGATTATATTCATACCAAGAAAACTACTCTCATCCCTGGAAAATTTTTGTTTTGTCCAGGAATTGTCAGAGAACATGCAGTACTCTAAAAAACAACCAAATAAGTCAAAATGCTGCTAAGCAAGTAACGCTACGTAAATTCTCCCCATGGGAGAGTATGTTATTTAATACAGGAGCAGGGACTTCATCAGAATTCAACTCAAAGCTTATAGAGTTTATGTCAAGGACCAACAACTCCCCTCCCTCTGAGATTCCCTTCCTACAAAAAATTCTTATTTTCACTTATTTCATCACCAATGAGATCTAGCCCTACCTTGGAGTTTTGCCAAATTATACAAAAGAAGACCTAATTAATGGAGTAGGCTCTGGCTGCACAAGCTCAGGGAAAAGAGTGTTAGCTTAGTGGTTTCTTGGCATCTCACCTCAAGGAAGTGTAACCTTTATTTCTCAAACCCTCTCTGGAGACAACGTGCATAAAACAACTAGTTTGTGCCCTGTGTTTGACTGCCCTGGGATGAGAGCACTGTATTCTTCAACTCCTACCCTAGACACAGGTTCTCTCTGCTTTACCCACAATCCCGAAGTAACTGTTAAGGGCAGTTTCCCTTTCCAAGCTTAATCTCTCAACTTTAAGGCTCATGATCTGAGGGTGTGGCACCTTCTTATGATTATCACCTCAACCAGTTCACTGTGGAGCTAACTTAAAATGACCTCCCAATGAGGGACTTGCATTGTCCCACACCACAAAGTGCCTTGGCTAAGGAAATTAACACTTGACTGCTCTTGTCTGAACCTTCTCCCACCATCCTCACTTTTTTTTCTTTTTTTAGGGAGTAATTTTTTATTAAAAAAAATCTGTACATGTTAGAGTGTATCTCACCACCTTCCTTAAATAATAACTCCTTAGACTAAAAATCTGTGTGCAGGGGAAGGGTCTTCTCTAACTTAGTACAATCACTACTATCACAGAGCCTTACAAGGAGCAAATGCTCAATTTATGGTGAGAATAAATGAGCCACTGAACAAAGAATATAATTTATTACAATTTATTTTATCTGCATTCTTGAAAAGGTTAAAGACAACCAGGTATGTATCTTTGGATTTTACAAAAACAAAAGTGAATGAATGCAGAAAACAAAAACTTGACATGCTTTGCTTACTCTTCCTCTATTTTAAGACTCCAATTATGTTGTGTGAGGTTCTTTCACACATTTCTGAGAAAATCTCTATTCTAAAACTATACTTTCTTCTTCTTGAACCCAAAAAAGATTCAAGGATTTCAAAAATGTATTACAGAATATCAAAACTCTTATGCTTAAAGCTGGCGGCACCAATAAATGTGTGATCCATGTCGCTCATAGACATAGATCCCAACTCTAAATAAACGTTCTATTAAAAGAAAAACACTTGAAAGATACTAATGTTTAACAGGAACACAAAGAAGATATATGTTATGATCTCTCTAGCCCTATCTTGGCTTCTACTTTAAAAGGTTGGCATCTTGCCACAAAAACAAAGTGAACAATCTGCCTTAATTCTCACATGGGTTGGGAGGAGTTGCTGAATGCGGCTCTAGAACGCCCTCTAAAACTTGCGGCAGTAGTGCGACGCCTGGCTCTAACACTGGATCGGACTCGGGCTCTCTCTTCCTCATCTCTCAAAGCCTCTTCATAATGGGATGGGAAGTCACGGGGAGTGGTACCATTCACCTTGGCCAGAAACTCGAGGACTTTCATCTTGGTGGTTTCAGTGTAGGCTCTTGGACCCCACAGGAATTGATAGCGTGGGGGATCACTGTTGGGCACCCGCTTGTACTTCAGATATTTTTCCTTCACCAGATCTTGGGTGATGAACTTCCGGGGTTCCCCATAGATTAAGTGCTCCTCTCCATCATAGGCTCCCAACATATTCATGAATTTCCAGATCTCTTCCTCGGTGGCAGAGTTGCCATTTAAGAAGATCACACCCAGGAGAGGCATCAGAAGCCCATTCCTGGGAAAGTCCCAATCATTGCTCAGGTTTCCATCATTGGTGAGGTTTAGCTTGCTGACGAGGGTGTAGGTGTGGCCACTAGGGTTGTCTTCCTTCAAATCAAGGCCAAAGACCAGCTCCAAGCGGTGAGAGGCTCTATTGAGGATCTCAGGGAAGTGATCCTTATACTTTTCATCAACAAACTTCAGCATATCTGCCTTCATAATGGGCTCTCTCATTTTATACTTATGTAGCATGAAATGCATCAGCATTCCTGCTTCCCAGGCTACAGGATCTTTGACTGACTTCTCAGTGGATGTTGTGCCCTGGGAGGAACTTGCATTTTCCTCACCTTGGCCTTTGGCACCTTCATCAGATTCGGTGCATGACACAGCCGCAGCAGCAGTGGTGGTGGGTGAAGCTCCCTGAGGCTTCTGGGGGATGCCAGCAGCAAGGGAGCTTGCGGGAGTATCCCCCAAAACAGGAGAGGAGGAGGGGCACTCCTCTTTCTCTGCTGCAGTGGCCTCAGCAACCTTGAGACCCTGGGTCTCCTCTCGTGCCTTGCGGCGTTTCTCACGAGCACGGAGCTTACTCTTATGACCCCGAGGCATGATGGCTGTGGTCAGGCAAAACAGGGAGGAGTGTGGGCAGAAGGGCAGGAGATGTGGGGCCTGAAGGAGAGAGAATGAGATTATGTGAGCACTTGCAGTAGGGAGGTACCACCTTGGCTTTTAGAGAGCCACTTCTGCTGGTTTTTTTGAGGGCACTGCTCTAAGAACCCACTAGGCTCTTGTTGCCAATCCTGCCTGGGACTGACTGGGTGACAGCAGAGGTTGGCAGTGTAGACTACCTCTGTGTTCAAGGGCCCTCTCAATTTATATACAGGATCTTCATATCTACTCTTGGAAGGGGCTGGGACCTCCTTCCTGTGCTGCTCTGAAGCTGACACTTCAAAGCTCTCTGGAATCCACCAAAGAAAAATGAGGCACTGCTTCAGCCCACCATCCTTGCCGGGGGCTGGGCGGGGTGGCAGTGCTGACAGTTCTGTGGAACTCTCTGTCCTGGGCTAGTTGGACCTCAATCTTCATTCAGAGTCCTCATCTCATCTATATCTAAGGTCTGGGAACCTCTCTTCTGCTAACTGGTGCTGCATCTTCAGACCAAAGCTGTCACCTCCCTTAGACGTAATGCAAAGAAATAAAGAAGTCTCAGCCTGGCAACCCTTGGCGAAGGCCTTTGAGAGCTAAGTGCAGAGACAGGACTAGCATCGTTGTTTTTCCTCTATTTGGGATGGTGGTTGGGGGCTTGGGGGAATGGTACCTTCAGTCCACATCCATACTTTCACTCCCAGAAGGGCCTAGGGCTCTGTTCTCTCTACACCTGAGGACCTTTACTCATAGTAAGGCCTACATCTGCCTGAGACCCAATAGAGGAAATGAGGGTGGCTGTATCTGGTCACATCGCCCATATTCTCCAGAGGCTCAAAGCTGTGGCTGGCAGGTTGAAGCCCTGCGATGTGTAGTCCCACTCATGGTCCTCACTCAAGGTCTCCAGTTTGACTCCTGGGCGGGCCTAAAATGCCTCCTACCCCTCCTGCTAACCCATCCGACTAAGACCTTCATTTCCGTTATTCCTGAAGAGGAATTTAGGGGCACTTCTGACATTTATGCTCAGGGCTTCCTAGGGATGACATACAGAGTGACTCTGAGGGATCCCCACTGATGAGGTGGGAGTTCCCTCAAGTCCTCTCTATGAGTCCTGGCACAACCTGGAAATCCTCTCTCTACTGACCTGAGGCCCTTTACATCAGATTAAGATTCTCATTGCCTGAGTCCCAAGATGAAAGAAAGCCTGAATCACATCCAGTCACCCCGTCCTCTATGGGGCTCCACTGTTCTGGGGTCGTTGTTCTCTTTAGTCTTCACTCAAGCAAAGTCTGAGCTCCTCTCTAAGCCTGCTTGATTCTTCCAACCTCAAACAAAAGCCTTCACCTCTCTGAGTACCCAGGGCTAGTCTTGAGGGGATGACACATCTGGTTACTTCTGCCTGGGGTTTCCCAGAGCTGAGAGGGGGTGGAACTTGGTGAAGCCCCACTCTCTAGGTCAATGCTCATCTCATTCCTCCTTCAGTGTCTTCTCTGTCTTGATCTAACGCCTATCCAGTCATACAAAGCCCCCCACCCCCAACTCCTTGAGGAAGAAGTGAAACTTTTCCCATCTGGCTACAACTGTCCATCATCTCCCAAGGATGAAAATCAGGAAGGAATTCCGTGTTTCTTTCACTGTTATGGGATGAGTGGTCCCCCCAGTTCTCAGGGTCTTCTTCTTGACTCCTGGAATTACCCGGGAATCCTCTAGCTGCTAACATAAGGCTGCCCCCTTTGATGAAGTTCCTCACTTCCCTGAGATGCTCTAGGAAGAAGTGAGTGAGACTCATCATATCACCATACCTGGATCTCCCAGGTCTCAGTGGGGATAGGGCTCTTTGTGTGTTACCTCTTTCTTGGAGGGGGTCCCCTCACACTCCCTCAGTATCACCATCTTTTAGGAACTGGGCCTCCTCCCTGTACTAAATAAGGGCTTTCATGTTAAACCAAAGCCATTATGTACCTGAAACAGCCCCTGAAGGAAATGAGAGGCATCTCAACTTGAGAGTTCTAACCCTGGCTTCTCAGGAATGAACGCCAAGGTAAGACCGTGTGTTCCTGCCTGTTCTGGACTACATGGTTACCTCATTCCTCATACAGAAACTGTACCTTAACACCTGTCTTGGCATATGACTCCTATCTCTCTACTGAACTGGGGCAGCAAGGTCTTAAACCAAGGCCCTCCTCTCCCTAAGACCACAAAGGCAGAAGCCAGGGAGTACTTGAGCCTGCCAGCTCTGGCCTGGGATTCCCAGGGACAGCATCAGGCGCAGCTGTCTCACTTGTGTATTGAGTAGCCGCCATTTCCTCACTCAGTGTCTCCACCTACACTCGTCACTCTTTCTGGGACTCCACCCATGGACTGGTCCTGAGACCATGCCCCGTAGACAAAAGTTCTCATACTCCTTGGACCTAAGTTTACAGTCATAGTGGGCCACATCCCACCATGGCTGACTGGGGCCCGTGCGTGCGGACAGCAGGAGCGGGACTTTTTTTTTTTTTTTTTTTTTGAGACGGAGTCTCGCTCTGTCGCCCAGGCTGGGGTGCAGTGGCGCAATCTCAGCTCACTGCAAGCTCCGCCTACCGGGTTCACGCCATTCTCCTGCCTCAGCCTCCCAAGTAGCTGGGACTACAGGCACCCGCCACCATGCCCCAATAATTTTTTGTATTTTTAGTAGAGACGGAGTTTCACCATGTTAGCCAGGATGGTCTTAATCTCCTGACCTCGTGATCCACCCGCCTCGGCCTCCCAAAGTGCGGGGATTACAGGCGTGAGTCACCACGCACAGCCCAGGAGCGGGGCTTTTGGACCCCACTGTTCTGGAGTCTGTGACTCCCTCAGTTGTCACACAGGACTTTGTCCCTGATTCCTAGTAGGGTTTAGGACTCCTCCCTCTATTGACCTGAGTCTGTAAGACTTAGGCCAAAGCCCTCATCTCCCTGAGTCACTGAAGAGACAGTCAGGGTGCTACCCATCCGGTTACCTGAGGCCTCCCAGGACCAAATGGAGAAGCGGGACTTAGTGGGGCCCTCTTTGTTACGGGTGGGTGTGGTCTCTTCAATTTACACTCAGGGTCCTCACCTTGACTCCCAACCAGTCCTGAGAATTCACCCTCGGCTGACCCGACGCGGCAACCCTTACGCTCGCTCGGGTACTCGCCTTCAAAGCGGAAGTGAGGATGAGCCACATCCGGCAGCCCAGGGCCTCTGAGGGCTGACGGCAAGAGTCTCTGAGGACTGACGACAGAGGCAGGACGCTAGGACACTGTTCTAGCATCGCTGGTCCCTTCGTCCCCACTAGGGTTCCTCACCTTAGTATCTAGCAGCCTGGGACAACTTCCACCTCTTGACCCAAATCCGCCAGGCAGACACTGCGCCCTTACGCTCGCTCGCTCCCGCGCTCGCGTCCTCGCCTTCAAAGCGGAAGTCAGGATGAGCCACATCCGGCAGCCCGTGGCCTCAGGGCTGACGGAAGGGGTAGAACGCTACCGGATGTAACTGTTCTAGCGTTGCTGCTCCCTACGTCCCCACTAGGGGTCCTCACCCCTGCTCATCTAGCAGCCTGGGATGACTCCGCCTTCTGACCCAAATCCGCCAGCTTCCAAACAATACCCCCACCTCCCTCAGCCCCCAAGGTGGAAATCTTAGCGAGCCACACAGGCCATCCCTGCCTTGGCCTCACAGGCCTGACAGCAGCGGCAGGGCTCTGTGAAAGTCCCTTTTTGGGGAGAGGTCTTCTCATCAGCTGTCAGAGTCCTCATCTGACTCTGGTTTCCTCTCCGGGCAGAACTGAAGTGACTCCCTTCCAGCCCCATGCTCCCCATCCTCCCTGAGACCTTCCAGGTGGAAATGAGAAGCATCTTAGGCGGATAGCTGTGTGTGATGCCTCAAAACAGGGGATGAATTCTGGGGACTCGTCTGCTGGTGGAGTCCTCTCTTAACACTTAAGAGTCCTACGTTGATTCTTGTTAGGGTCTCGGCCTCTTCCTTCTGTAAAACTGAGGCTGCCCCAATTAGACGGAACCAGTCATGTCCCTGAGACTTTCCAGGCAGAAATCAGCCTGCCATCTCCGCCAAGGCTTCCTAGGGCTGACAGCAGAGGGGACTTTGTGAGGCCGTGTGGGTGCTATCCTTAGTTCACATTCAGGTCCTCACCTTGACAAGTGAGCAAACCTGTAACTTACCCTTTGTTTACCTGAACCTGCTCCTCTCACATCAAGGTCCTGTTTTCTGAGAATTTTGAGTTGGAATTCTGGATGATCCTCATGATCACAGTCCTTTTGCAACCTGCAATAACAGATAGTAAGAAAAGGACTCCATAGAACCCCACAGTTTTGGCTGGGTCCTTCCATCAATCTTCTTTTATGCTCCTTGCCTTTACATGTATCAGAACCTGGGACTCCTCTGTCTACTGAACTGAGTTCACTCTCCTGAGGGGCTGGATGAACCCTTACATTTTGGAGTGGTTTCTCCCCACTATTCATTCATGAGTGTTCTCATGTTGGCTTCTGTCTCTTGATCAAACTCTTCCAGGGAAGTGTCACATCCCTGCAAAAATTTGACCAGTTTCCTCTTTGCAAACCTTGCAGAGAAGAGGTCCCTGTCCCAGAAGTGATGTGACACTAGGAAACTGAAACGGAAGGTGGAGAGCCTCGGACAGATGTTGTGCTCTCAGGGAAAAAAACATGCTGATCTATTTCTTCACTTCACCAACCAAAGGGTAGTTCTAAAAGATTTACTTTCTACAGAAAAGGTGCAGCCAGATGATTTTTGTAATCTTTTGATCTTTCGAAGCTATCTAAGTTTGCTTCTGTCGGTGATCATATTGTCACCAAGTATTGTTTCTTTTTCTCTGTAACTCACGTCTGTCAATTATTGTGGTATTCTTCTTGCTCTGGTTATGTATTTCAATCCAGTGTTTGGGGTACAGAGACCTCTTCTTTCTTACCTGAGACACACTTTGGGGTTGTAGAAGAAAATGAATTAAGCAATTCACAGTAAGCTTCAGTTTGGGAGGAGTGGAACAGTGTGAACTCTAGAGGAATTCAGACCAGCAGTCTAGTTCCAGCCTTATCACTTACTAGCTGTGTGAACTTGGGCACATTACCAAACTCTATGAGCCTCGGGCTCTGCATCTGTGAAATGGGCTTGACAAGCCTTGTCTTGTAAGACTGGTGGAATGTGGTGAAAGTGTGCAAAGCCCTGGTGTGCATTGAGACTTTAAACAATGCTTGTTATTACTGTGATTATTTCAAGTACAGAAGAAATCATCCACCCTGCTGATTTTTTTCAAGTCCAAGAGATAACAAAGAATATACAACTTTCTAACACATGGAACAACAAATCAGTCCAAAACGCAACTTACAAAGAAACTCTAAATAACTTTTCCGTATTAAATCATATTTTGAGTGTGGAGTTGTCTTTCTCATCTGAAAGCAACTCAAACCTTCTAGGGTTTGGTTCAAAGACCAACTCTGGCCTTTCATCCAAACCACTTATTTTCATTCATTTTACCACCATCAAAAATCTAGATCTCCCTTAGAATTTGCAAAAACACATGAAAGGAAAAAAATTCGTTTTAATGGAATGGGTTCTGGCTGCCCAGCTGATAGCAGAGTATTAGCCCAGTGGCTTATGAGTTTCCAGTCTTAAAGGAGTATCACCTTTATTTCTCAGAAACACTCTGGGGACTACTTGCATAAAACACCTAGTTTGTGTACTGGATTCACTTTACTTGCACTGGGACAAGAGCACCGGCCACTTTCAATCCCTGCTTCTAGGCAAAGATTCCCTCTGGTTTTTCCGCAATCTCAAAGTAACTGTTAAAGGCAATTTTTCATTCCAGTCTCCATCTCTGAAGTCTGAGATCCACCATTTGAGTGTGTGACCCCTGCTCAGTGCACCCCATCTAGGCACTAGGCCGGGACATAAAATTACCTCCTATTGCAGTATGGTCGGTTTCCCAAAGTCTCGATTACCTTGCTTAGGACATTTACACTAGATTCCACTGCTGGAAACACCCCCACCTTCTTTCTTATCCCCTCTTTTCACCTGTCTTTAGGTCTTAGGGAGTATCTCATCACCTTCATTATATGATAGCTGCTGTTGGATTCTAAAATTCTATGGGCAGGGATTGGGGGTTTTTTGTTGTTTGTTTGTTTGTTTGTTTTTTAGTTTATCCAGTACTAGCCAGGAGCCCTCCAAAGAACAGCTGCTCAATTAATATTTGGACGATTAAAGTGTAAGTGACCAGGAAGTCAAATGTATTGCTATTTAATTTCCCCCACATTCCTGAAAAAGCTAAGCCAATCCGGGTACATACACTTCACTTTTACAAAGAAAAACTAAAAAGAACAAAACAAAGCAAGAATTGACCACATTTTACTTTTTTTTTTCTCTACTTCATGGTCCCACCAACTTTATTGCAAGGTAATTTCCTTTTCACAAATTTCATATTCCAATTCCATATTATCTTGTTCTAGATCACAGGAAAAGACTTAAAAGATGTTTAAATTGTTTTACATAATGCAAAAATTCTCGCTCTTCAACCTGTTATATTTTAATAAATGAGTGATTCATGCCTTTCACAAACTTAGATTCTGAAACTAAATAAATCTACAATTAAAAAAAAGGACACTGAAAAGCAGGAAAAAGAAAAGATAAATCATTTTACATACAAATATGTTACATATAGTGTTCCCACCAACTCCCCTTTGGCCCTCCGTTAATTAGAAGGTTAAGTGTTTTGTTAATCAAAAGTAAAGAATATACCTCAGACTTCACAAGGAGTGGGAGACACTGCTGGACACCACACTGAAACATGCCAGACCCAGTTGCAACACTATCTCTGGCTCTCTCTCCCTCATCTCTCCAAGTCTTCTCTTAATGGAGGGAAGACAATGGGGACACTGTCATTGACCTTGGCCCAGGCCTCCACATTCTTGAATAATCTAAGCAAACCAGGTATGTAACTTTTAAATTTATGAACAAAAAAAGACTGAACGGAGTAAGACAAACCATGAATAAAGCAACTTTTACTTTTCTTCTCTTTCTATCTTCAGATTCTACCTATTTTACTGTGAAGTTATTATAAATTTCTAAGGATAACCTTACTCCCATGCCATGTTATTTTGCTCTGTATCACAAAAATGATTTCAGGATTTTCTATTTGTATTTCTAAAACAAAATTCTTATTACTAAACCAACCTGATAAACAGCAATAAGTGTGTGATGCATGCCATTTCTAAACTTATATTCTGAATCTAAATAAACTTTCTATTTTAAGAAACATCACTAGAAAATACAACAAAGAGATAAATCAACAAGTTATTCATGCATCACAGGAACAGAGAAAGCAACAGGTCTTTCAACCACAAAATGAACAATTTGCCTTAGATCTCACATGGGGTGGGAAGAGCTGCTGGATGTGGCCCTGGAATACGTACTAGTCACGGCCGTAGTGCCACGCCTGGCTGCAACTCTGGGCCGGGCTCCGGTTCTCTCTTCTTCATCTCTCAAAGCCTCTTCATAAAGGAGTGGGAAGTTATTGGGGGTGGTGTCATTCACCTTGGCCAAAAACTCCAGGACTTTCATCTTGCTGGTTTCTGCATAAGCTCTTGGACCCCACAGGAATTGATAGCGTGGGGGATCACTGTTGGGCACCTGTTGGTATTCCAGATATTTTTCCTGCACCAGATCTTGGGTGATGAGCTTTCGGGGTTCCCCAAAGATAAGGTGCCTCTTTCCATCATAGATCCCCAACATATTCAGGAATTCCCAGATTTCCTCTTCACCGGCACAGTTGCCGTTTAAGAAGATCACACTCAGTAGAGGCATCAGAAGCCCGTTTCTCGGAAGGCTCCAGGCACTGCTCTGGTTTCCATCATTGGTGGGGCCTAGCATGCTGACAAGGATGTAGGAGTGAGTGGTGGGGTTGACCTCCTTCAAGGCAAGGCCAAAGACCAGCTCTGTGCGCTGAGAGACTTTCCTGAAGATCTCAGGGAAGTGCTCCTTGTACTTTTTGCTGATGATCTTCAGCATTTCTGCCTTTGTAGTGGGCTCTTTCATTTTATACTTGTACAGCAGGAACTGCACCAACATCTTCGTCTTCCTGGTTAGAGGATCTTTGAGTGATCTCTCAGTGGATGTTGAGGCCTGGGAGGAACTTGCATTTTCCTCATCTTGGCTCTCTTCACCTTCATCAGGTCCAGTGCCTGACATAGCTGCAGCAGCAGGGGTGGTGCGTGGCTCTCTCTGAGGCTTCTGGGGAATGCCCAAAGCAAGGGAGCTGGAGGGAGTATCCCCCAAAACAGATGAGGAAGAGGAAGGAGACTCTTCTTTCTCTGCTGCAGTAGCCTGACCAACCTTGAGATCCTGGGTCTGAGCACGGGTCCGCTGGCGTTTCTCACGGGCACGAAGCTTACTCTTCTGACCCCGAGGCATGATGGCTGTGGTTAGGCACAGCAGGCAGGAGTGTAGGCAGAAGGGCAGGTGATGTGGTTCCTGGAGAAGAGTGAATGAAATCCTGAGAACACCTTCAGCAGGCAGATACTACCTTGGCTTTTCAGAAGCCGCCTCTGCAGGATTCCTTGAGAACACTGCTCTAAGTATTCACTGGGCTATTGTTCTTAGTCATTCTGTCCCCTGAGAACTCAGCTGAGGAAGTTACAATGTGCCTTAGGCTGCAGCTTGCCAACCCTGCCTGGGGCTGACTGGGTGACAACAAGCCTCGCAGTTGGGATCTCTGTGTTCAAGCTTGGAGAGGATCCACTCTGATTACCTTTAAAATTATCATGTCAGCTCTTGGCAGGGCCTGAGCCTCTCTCTATTGGTGTTGTGAAATTGACTCTTTAGTTTTCTGGGACCCAAATGAACGAAGTCCAGGGGCCCCTCAACCCACCACCCCTGCCTAGAAGCATTTAGTACTCTCTCTTTAGGTCCCAGATTTGCACTCAAGATCCTCATCTGGACTCCATGCAAGGTTGTGGACTGTCTCTTCTGCTGACTGATAACTGCGACTTCAGAACAAGAATTTCACCTTTTCTAGTTCTGATATAAAATGTGATGGGCATCTAAGAAAAAAAAATTGATTACCTGGACTTTGCTAAATTAAAACTTCTGCTCTGCTAAGGATACCACAAAGAGAATAAGATAACTCCCAGGTTGGGAAAAAATTATTTTCAAAAGACATATCTTATAAGGGACTGTTAACCAAAACATACAAAAATTTCTTAAAACTGAACAATAAGAACTGACCAACCCTATGAAAAATGGGCAAAAGATGTAAGCAGGCACCTCAACAAATAATATATATGGAAGGCAATACATACATGAAATGATGGTCAACATCACAGGTCATTAGAGACTTGCAAATTAAAACAATAATGTGATACCACTACATACCTATAAGAATGGTCAAAATCAAAAACACTGATAACCCCAAATACGGATGAGGATGTGGAGCAACAGGAGCACACTGTCATTGCTGGTGGACATGCAAAATGGTACAGCCACTTTGGAAGACAGTTTGTAAGTTTCTTACAAAGCTATGCATACTCTTATCATATGATCCAGCAAGTGTGCTCCTTGTTATTTAGCCAAATGAGTTGAAAACAGTATGCCCACAAAAAAAAAAAAAAAACCCTGCACACAAACGTTTATAGTAGCTTTATTCATAATTGCTCAAATTGGGAAGCAACCAATATGTCCTTCAGAAGGAGAGTGGGTAAATTAATAGAATAAAGTATTATTCAGCACTAAAAGGGAATGAACTATCACGCCACAAAGAGACATGGATGAAACTTAGATACATATCACAGAGTGAAAGAAGCCAATTTGAAAAGTCTATACATTGCATAATTCCATCTATATGACATTCTGGAAAAGGCAAAAGTATGGAAACAGTACAAAGTTCAGTGGTTTCCAAGGGTTGGGGAGAGTGAGAGATAAATAGATCAGGCACAGAGAACTTTTAAGGCAGTAAAACAATTCTGGATGATGCTATGGTGGTAAACATATGTCATGTTACATTTTTAAATATTAAAACCCACAGAATGTGCAGCATCAGGAATGAATCCTAAACTACAGACATCGGGCATTGGGTGATAATGACGTGTCCATGTATTCTCAATTGTAACAAATGTATCACCCTGGCTTGGGAGATTGATATGAGGGAGGCTGTGTCTGTGGGAGGACAGGATGCCCATGGGACTCTGTGCTTTCTGCTCAGTTTTGCTGTGAACGTAAAACTATTCTAAAAAAGAAGGTCAATTATTTTTTAAAAATTAAAAAAGTGGTGGTGAATCCTCAACCTTACATGCTGCTCTGGCAATTTAAGATTTATGCAGGGGGGTGGACTCTGTTGTCCTCTCTATTCAGAGGTGAGCAGTCCCCTCAGTTCTCACTCGGTTTCCTTTATTTGGCTCCTAGCAGATCCTGGGGCTCCCCTCTTTTTTGACCTGAAGACCTCTCCGTTTAAAAGGCCTGCACCTCCCTGAGATCTGATAGGAGGAAGAGGGTGGCCTTATCTGGCCACAACTGACCGTGGTCTCCCAAGAGTGGCAGCTGTGGTAGACAGGTTGAGGTCTTATGATGGATTGTCCTACTCAGGTCCTAACTCAGGATCCTAAATCTGACTCACAGGAAGGCTTAATATTCTTCCCTTTGCTGAGCTGGGATTGCCCACCTCAGAACCAGACCTTCACTTCTCTGTTACTACTGAGGATATGAGGATGCCTCTGTCTGACATTCATGCCTGAATCTCTCAGAGATGACAATAGGGAGGATTCTGTGGGGTCCCCACTCATAGGGGTTTGGTGGTTTCCGCACTCTTCAGGGTACTCACTTTACTCCTGGCACACATTAGGAATCCTTCCTCTATGGACCTGAGTCAGCCAGCCTCAGATCATGGTCTTTACCTTCTTAAGAACTCCGGAGTAGAAATCAGGTTCAGCCCCATCCTGTCAAGACTATTTGGGTGAGTGCTTCCCTCATTCTTCATTCAGGGTCCTCAGCTTGGTATGTGTCAGAGAATGGGACTCCTCCCTCTACCGACCTGAGATGCAGGAACTCATAGGTCCCTGAGAACCTTGAAGAATAAGTGAGGAGATGCTCAGGCTAAGAACTCTGTCTGGCATGTTCTGCTCAGTCCTCCTATATGAAGGTCTTTATCTTAGCTCTTGTCCCTTAATTAATGACTTCCTGGGAAATGCCACATCCCTAAAAACTCTTGACCAGTTTCCCTACAATAAATCCTGCAGACAATGCATCCCTGTCCCAGGAGTGATGTAAGATAGGGAAGCTGTAACACAAGGCAGAAGCCCAGGATTAAAAGTCATACCGTCAGAGGAAAAAAAAGCAAACAAACAAATAAAAACATGTTGATCTATTTCTTCTCTTTACCACCCTCTTATGTATTTCTCTTGGAAAAGATTTAACTTCCTATAAAAAGGGGAACTGTTCAGAACGACAGAATGTGAGCCCATGATCTTTTGAGTTTATCTGACTTTGCATATGTAGTCATATTGTCACCAAATATTATCTTTCTCTCCTTAATTCACACCCCTCGACCATTTTGGTAATTTCCTTGCTCTGGTTATGTATTTCAGTCCAGCAAATTGGGCACAGAATCTTTTTATCACTTGATATACATTTGGGAGTAGTGAGAAGAAAAGTGAATAAGGGGACACAGTCAGTCTCAGGTTGGGAGGCATGGAACAGAGTGTGCTTTACACTAATTCAGACCAGGGGTCTTGTCCCAGTCCTGTCACTTACCAGCCATGTGAAATTGGACACATTAATAGACCGTGGGCGTCAGGCTTTTTATCTGTGAAGTGGATTTGATAAGTTCTGTTTTGTAGGACCAGTAAAATGTATACAATGTATGTAAAGTGCTTGAGATGTATTGAGACATAAAATAGTGCCAGTTCTTATTATGATTAATTTGTACCCTGACATTGCAATCTACTACACTGGGACTTATTTTTCAGTGCAGGAGATGTCAGAGATTATACCATATTCTAGGACAAAGAAAGCCCTATCAGACAAAGTGTTACCTAGAAAGGAAAACTAAATAATATTTCCTCATTACTTGATAGATCATTCAATATTAGTATGAGGTAGACTTCCTCAGTAGATGCAACACAAATTCTAAAATGAGTTTCAAGAACCAAAAACTTCCTTCTCTCTCAGCTATCCTTCTATCTAAACCACTTTTATTTTGATTCATTTAACCACCTCTCAAAATCTAGACCTTGCCTAGAGTTTGCCAAATTACACACGAGGTAACCTAATTGAATGTGCTTTTAATGGAACAGGCTCTGGATCCCCCAGCCCAGGGCAAAGAGCACCAGCATAGTGGCTTCTGGTCCTCCCACCTCCCTTGAGGGTATTACCCTTATTTCTCAGAAACTGGCTGGAGATGATGTGTACAAAACACCTAGTGTGTGCTGTGTTTATTTGTACTGGGAGAAGAGCACAGGACACATTCTTACCCCAGGTTTTCCCTGGTTTATCCATGATCCCAAAGTAACTGTTAAGAACTGTTTCCTATTCCAAGCTTTGTCTTGCACCTCTGAGAGGCAACTTCTGAGAGCCTGGCCCCTGTTCACCATTCCCACAGCCTCATCCAGCCCACCATGG